TTCATTGAAAATCCCCTACTACATTCAGTTACGAGTTTTTAATAGCTTGGTAAGGTTTTTTCCCGTACCAGGTCCGTCTAAAACCTACACGGAAAGACCGAGTTCATTGAAAATCCTCTACTATACTTAGTTATGAGTTTTTCATAGCTTGGTACGGTTTTTTCCCGTACCACGTCTGTCTAAAACCTACGCTCAAGTATGTTATGTAAAATCTCCTTCTACTGCGTTAGGTATAAGTTTATATGAACACTAAGTACGGTATTATCTCATGTAAATAAATAAGTAATTGAATAATTTTACTCTCATGAAAAAATATTAGTGAGACATTGTAATTTCCAACTCACTAAAATATTTTTAACAAAGTCATCCATGATCCACTTTGAGGTTACTTTTGATATTTATAGTAACAACATTAACAATTCATCACTGCACCAGTATCCTAATTAACTGTCACTTATTTTTTTAACGCTGGTACATACATTTATTATGATAAAAATAATACTACAATGAATATGGATAATTTTCAATGTACCTACAGGTATATTAAAAATGCATACCGCAAGAAAAAAAAACTGCTCTGCCCACTATAGTACGTCGTAAACACCTACTGGATACATCTATTTTTCATAGCTACAGTTAGTAAGGGAAAAAACTGTACCACCGTCACTAAATACTTGTACTGATATCTTAAAACCTATATACTTGGCACGAAATTTAAGACCACTTAAGGTGACACTAAAAATTCTTGTGTTAGTAAGCAACAAATATAACGTTGGTGTAGTATTTCTTACGATCAAATATTGTAGTAGGGGATTTTTAATGAACTCGGTCTTTCCGTGTGCTTTTTTGACAGGTAACAAGAGCCTCATTAAGTTTCACTAGATCCTTTTCAATCTAGGCATCGTTTTGCGTATTCAGGGCATTTTGACCTAGAAGTAATACGAAATAAATAAACGAAGGAATTTTACTTTTATATGTCCGCGTGCGTATAAGGGGAGTAAAGTTTTTGCGGGAGTAAGAC